TTCATACGCCGACACCACCCCCCCCCCCACCCCGCAACATTATTCGAATTATCAGTGTCGCGAAAGTAACAATATGAATAGCATTTGGAGTAAATATATGTCAAGCAATTTGCATGGATTATGTACAATTTAAATATAGCCGTGCTCTCATTTTTTTTTCTAAAAATATAGTTCAATTAATAGGTGAATGAGCCGGGGAATTAGTTACATCAGCGATCAGTATTGTTGATTATGTTATAGCATTATCAATACCAGTGGATTTTATGACGCACTACTGATTATTCGCACTAACAGGTATTTAATTATCAAATCGGCATCAAATAAAATGGTGTGTTTCCAATGAAACCAATTTCAATATTCACAACGGACGTCGTCGTCTGTTGTATACACTGAAGTGTACTATTTAGTACGTGCAATATTAGATTTTGCGACTCGTGGCATCAATTGCTCACTAAGCCTTTCGTTTGACTTCAAAGTAACTGTAAAATGACCGAGCTCTTTTAGCAATGCCATCTACCCAGATGCTTTAAAACACTGGTGAATATTCACCACAGTAATAATCCACACCACACACCAGTCATTCCAATTTAAAACACCTTTTCTATTTGGTGGATTAAAATTGATTTCTTTTTTAATTTATATTGCCATATCAGATGGTGAAAACAAATTTCATGAATAACATTATAAAATATGCCGATTCAGGGGCATGTGACTGTGACACTGTGAATTTTTCTGCTTTTCTAATGCCAGAAAATCATTGGTATTGGCAACGATATAAATAATAACAATAATTAATTCCCCGTCAACCCATATTGGGCGCTTAGCACATATATGTCGCACAAAGTGCGTTATCGTTCATTATTAGTTGGCAGGGTGTTCATTAGTGTTTTAAAAAAACATGTGAAGTGTATGTATAAGGAAAGCGACTGCAATTTTTGTTTCAAGTCTTGATTTCTTCATAATAGTACAGACACAGACGTGGACAATATATGATCAGTTTCTTCAGAATTCCCTTAATGTTTGCGCTTCTAATTCGGTTGTCTCTTTAGATATTGGTCTTCAATGGATAAGATCTGATAGATGATGTCACATGTAGAATCTAATCTTCACGTAAATTTAATTGTCAAATTAAATAAATTGGGTATGTTTGTAAGGTCAAGGAGTATGTTCATTTCAAATTTACTCGGTGTTTATATCCCATATAGAAGCTGTGTTTACTCGAATCCCTTGTGAACGTTGATGAATGAAAGCACTTTAGATAAAGAATATATCAACTTCAAAATCGAGTTTTTTTTAAATCAAACTGTCACCTGTGGGTGTCCAAAGTTAAAGGATACGTCCATATATGCTACAGGGCTGTGATGTGTTTTCTGCTTACCACCATTCTGGTTATTGGCGTAACACAATATGATCAGTTTGACGGGGAAAGTTCTCCACTTATGGAAAACAATCATGGTGCCCCACAAGGTTCGGTTCTGGGGTCAGTACTTTTTCTTATTTATATTAATGATATTCACATGGCATCAAGTATTTTGTACCACATTCTTTATGCAAATGACACTACTGTATTCACTCTATTATCACTACTGCTCTAAATGTGATAAATGATGAGCTATGGAACAGTCAGTTAATCAGGTACACAGGCAAAAAGTTATCAATCAATACAGATAAAACACACTGTAATATTGGTTTTCCTCCGGGAAATAATCATTCACATAATAACAAAGGTATAAAATTTAATAAACACAATGTTGAAGAGGTTTTACTCACCAGAATATCAGGAGTTATAATTGACAGTATAACATGACATATTGAACAAATTGCAACGGTGGCGTTCTGCCTTGACTGATATATAACTTGTCATCATCTTATCTTAACAATCTTAAAACGTGTTTCATTTGTTTGTGTGCTCAAAACAAATCATATGAGAAGAAATGTACAAATTGGGCACCTCTACTTAGTGCGAAGTAATATTACAAATTATTTTGTTTCGAGTTTTGATGACTTCCTAATCGTCTTGCCATTATGCAAATTACTTGCAGAGACGCTAGTCGATAGACGATAACACAGGAAATATGTATATCATCAAAGCATGTTTTGGAGCAGATAGAGGTCGCGCTAGACTTGCCGGCAAAACTTCCCAAAACGCACATGGTGAAACCAGATGCTTCTAGATTTTATCTCCACGTCCCTTCTATGCACACGTGAACAAAAAATGCGTTCATCTCAACATAATACTTCACAATCGTGGATTATTAAAGTAATGGAATTATAAATGTAATGTTATACCTTCGCGCATGTTTCAAAGCACAATGCTGATTACTATGGAGCGTCTCGCTTTTTGTTACAGTTTGATTTTTTTTAAATAGTAGTTGTTTATAGTTAAGATGCTACTAATTAGAACTAATTAGTACACCATTTTTTGTGCGTAAATGCGTTCGGACGTTTGTCGTTAATTTGTTTGGGCGTTATAGATGCGATGTTATTTTATCTAGTTTATTTATTTTGTTTTGTTTTTGCTGATACATTTGCATGTAACTTATCAGAGTGTTAATTGCCTTCCCGTGGGATATTTCACTACGGTTTTGTTGTCGAATGATATGTAAGTATATGGCTTTCATATTGATTTTCCAATGTAATCCGCAACAAGAATACATAAAATTCAGAACTAGATGGGCAAAATGTATAAAACATATAATAATGTAATAATGGTATTTCCGTCCAATCATCACAAGTTCTTATGGTAACGATGTTTTGCTTCTGCTAACAATGAGATATTTTAATCATTATTGAATTTATAGAATATTTTTTCATACAAACCGAACTATATACAATCGACTAGTTTGATGATATTGTGATTTTATGTCAATACAAATATATTGACCAATGCTATATATAAATATTTCATATTAACCAATAAATATACCTCATGTCTAAAATTGCCTAAAAATCATTTGCAAGATGAATTACAATTTTAATGCAATGCAGTAAATTGGGGGAAATTCAAAGGATTTCCGGCAATTAATCAGAGTATTTGGGTTTATTTTGTTATTGTCATACAAATATACTTACGTTGAAGTACAATTAAATGACGTCATAGACGCATAGTATTCCTTGCAATGTACATCAACATAGCGATTGCATATTGCAAACAGTATTTCTTACATTTGTGAAAATATGTCTCCATACTTATACATTATCCTTGATACGAATTCCTGATATTGTAAAAAATATTTACAGAAAATCTCATTTTATGAATTTTCAGTATGATAATTCCATTAGACTGCTTTTCATCATATACAATGAAGAGTTCTCTCCCATATGTGATCATCAAAAGTGCACCATCTGAATTGCGCTAGAACTGCCGCAATAAATCTTCTTCATTAATCGGTTTTATGCAATTGAGACAGGAAAACGACTAATGGTTTCATCCATCACAGTCTATCGTACATGCTGAGCCAACGGAACAACAATCCCACCGTTACATTCAGATTTTAATATATGTATACATTTATTCATTGTGCAATAATTTACGTATTAAGGTAGAGATGCAGTTTATTTGGCTTGCTTATTAATTGAGTAATTAGACAATGAAGATGGTATTATATATCCAACATGTTATATATTTTCTGAAAGCTTATAATACAAAACTTTGTAAAACTTGTCTTAGTTTTAAATATCCAGAATGCGTTTTTCATTTTGGGTAAAAAATATGCTTTTTTGGGCAAAAGTGGTTTAAAAAAATTAGCTTAAAAACTTTAAGTTCATTTGTGGGTAAAATTACATCACTGGATACCTTGGTATACTACTAATTCAAATGCGTCCACTCATCTCTCTAACGGCTTTCAAAGTCGCACAGCATGACCTCAAAGTTCACTCCTTTCTATTTTTGCATAATTTATATATCTATATTAATTGCGGACTTGTTATTTTTTTCCACTTGCCGTAATAAACTGTCCGGACGCATTATGAATGGGGAGCACCTTGTCAATAATGTGTGAAAATTCCAAGCAAATGGCCAAAGTGTCTATCAGCTATTTCAATTTACAACCCCGGGATTCACCGAAGATAGAAGACGAGAAAAAGGCTAATTTGCATATTTGCGCGTTAAACCGGGAATTGCTGCTTTGTCACACTTCGTCAGACTTTCTGGACTATTGAAATTGAAAGTTAACGTATAGACATGGACATTTGATATAAAATCGTTGAACCAGAACAACTGCTCTTGAATATATGAACCAGAAACACGGTAATCGTACCAGTGGTTTGATTGGGTCGGTAAAAACACGTGGCGATGCCCAGTAAATATGACGTCATTCATGAATTATTAAACAGGGGGCGGTCCTAAGAAGGTGACCTTTTATCACGACCAAAACATCATGGCTTCTCTTCAATGTATTTTCAATAAAAAAATCTACGAGTATTTCAGAGCCTGTCGTTTACCGTGAAGAGTACAAAGTGGGGTATTAAATAATTTATCTTCGATGATTTTTATGTAGTATTGAGAACCATTCCAGGAAGCGAACGCGCAATAATGAATAATCACGTAACCCTAAAATCGAAGCGCGAGGTATAGACATTTTGTTCAGCGTTTCATAGGCCCATTTTCCCCTTTTTAAATAACTGCAACATGTTTGTTAAAAGAAGTATTTGAATTCTGTTCGTTTTTTAAGGAGGCAATTTTTTTATTTTTTCCGATCTTGGTACGCCGTATTCGGGGAATTTCTAAGACAGTCGCAGACAATCAGCGCACGGATGTGTACGTACAAAAAATGCTGTTGTACTACCGGCGACGGTCGCCTACAAAAAGAGAGCTCCAGCACCTATGTTATTGTCATGCTGTAGGTGTCAAAATGTTGCCCAATCGAGCATCGTCGTTGTTCTGGAAAACAATTGGATGTTGTCATATCGGAACACTTCTCCAGAGCTCATCAACATGCCAAGACCGAAGAAGAACGATTTATGTCGGTATATTATCAACTTAAATGTTCCCATACAGAGTCGGTCCATTTATAGTAGCTTTTTTTGCCGTTACTCAGACTTGAAGACTGTGTTAGGCCGCGATTGACCAGCGTCAAGGCAAAAATTCTACTATTTATTGCATTAACTTGTCAACTGTTGGTCGTAATTTGTATGAACGAGTGTGGATGTTTGCGATCATGTCAGATAGTGCTCATAACACGTATTTCTGTTTTTGTTTTGTTTTTCTACATCATTAATTAATACCTGGTATATATTAAATATTGCATGAGTGACCCTAATATATCAGATTTATATATAACAAATATGACCTTTTTACTTGTGAAAAATGCAACTTAAAATAAATTCCGTAATTCTGTAATCACAGCCTAGACGTACATCGTAATGAATCAAATATTTTTTTCGTAAACTATAAAAATGTGTAATTTTTTTCGGTACGTACAAGAATTTTCTAGGTTTTCCGTAAAATGTAAAATAACCTTTATTTTCTCTGTAAACTTTAAACATTCAATTTTCACTGTAAACTGCAAAAACGTCTTTTTTCCTTGTAAATTGTAAAAAAACTATTTCTATTTCCCGTAAAACTGTACCAGCTAACCCCCCCCATCTTGCCCCCTCAACCTTTCCTCCTCAAACACGTTCTATATGCACACCCCACACCCCCATATAGGATGAAGCATATTTATACGTGTTACTAAACATGAAGGTGTAACATTAACTTTTTACTTTCAGGAAACAAAGAAAAATAGTCAACATTCGATACTAATTTTATCCATCTCGCTAAAAGAAACCAATATAGCTCGTTTACTTGTCGAAAACGGTGCTGAAGTGGACACTATTTACATGGTGAGTGTCTGTAGTAGTGTAGTAAAATTGTTATACATATTAATATTAAACATCTGACTGATTTATTTTAGCAACATATAGTCACCGATTCTCTTCATGTAAACCTCCATCCAATTGCATATTAATCGCACTCCGGCGACGAAACGTCCCTGCATCGTTTACGTAAGTGAGTGAGTGCAATGGACGCCGTTCGAGGTGTCGACATTACTCAGCTCTGTGTTAATTCGTCAATAATATTTTGTATTGACTTGCAATATTGTAAATGACGTCATAGTACACCACTGAATAGATATTTCAATTCGATCGTCATTGCTTACACTCGTTACGTCACTTTGACGACACGGAGGGTCATCGCCGCTATTAGCCACGACTTATAGGAAAGTTATTTTTATTAACCAAACTAACTCGTGGTGTAAGAATCTGTGGTTAAGTTGCTGAATATATTACATATTCTTCTTCTGTGAAACATGTATTGAATAATGAGGCGAGCTGTTGCCTAACCAGTATTATAATAAAAAGGGGTTTTCTATAGATACAAGTGCCTATTTTGACGTAAATTACTGTTAAGTAGGTGACACGAGATACACATACTACGTCACGCTCGTCATCTCATATCAAGACCCCATATATTGCCATGTCTTAGTGGCTTTTCGCCAGAATTTTAGAAAAACTAAAAACAATAATATTCATGACAAATATAAAATAAAAGCGCAATTTTAATGACCATGTTAGGATAAAATAATACCACGTAGGCAACAATTTTGTAAAACAAATTGACTAGAAACATTTTCCTAATTTAGATGCATTAAACTCGTGCAGTATTTTGTGTGTTTTCGACCGAAACCTTGGAAACAAAATTGCATTTACTACAACCGTTTGACGAGAAAGATATAATGGGAGCTCACACACTAGGCCTATTCCAAGTGTTGTAAAGTCGAGAAATACGTGTTCACAAGCGCTACCCTCAGTCAGAAGCGTCTGTAGTCGCTATACGTATTAGGAGAATACGCGCCGTAGGCAAAAAATTGTAACTGCATAGTTCAGCTGTACTTTCTATCCTGGATAAACCTAAATGCAATTATCCACACAAAGGAACGCTGTCCCGATTCTCCGCTGGTTCACTTCGTTAAAATCCTCCCAGGGGCTATATTGCAATTAATACTAATGTTTTGATGAAAACATTTCTATCATGGGAAAGTGCATTATCATATCAGCAGGATATTTCATACTGGAGGTGCATGTTGATGTAATTCGCTACAAATCTTCGCATCGGGAGCATGTTCTTACATAACGAGGAGCAGCGGAGATCCCACGGATTTATATGTATACCTTAAAGCGGAGTGATATTTGTTCAATCATAAAATATAAATATTCGAATCCATAAATAGTATAATGTATTAGGCTGATATTATGTTTCTGGTTCAAATTTTATCTAAAAACGATGCGGTGATGCGATTTTTTATGAAACATCACGAGAGGCGATCTGCGCATGCGTAAACAAGATATTGCCCCGCCAACGACAGACACATTCTCTTCTATTTTTGAACTGGATATAATATAATATTTGTTTTTTTGTCTCATGAAAATTTTTTGTATTTCTTGTTTATATGAATAAATCTATTAGGCTTTAGAAAGTATATAGTTTCCTTTTAAAGAATTTATTAACCGGAAACACGCTTCATGTAATATATAATCGAGTTTATAGCGAGAATTAAATCAACCACTAAGTAATTCATAACATTTTCATTGCTCAATTTAATCTATTTATTAAACGTAAGTGGTCTTGTTTTGCTGGAGCACAATGAATTTGCAAATGACTAATGTTATATTGTCTGAATATGACTGTTATAATAACGATATATTATTCAAATGCAATTCATTTCCATTTCCTTATCCGATATTTGTTGTCGACACATTGTTTGATACTTTCGAATGACCTATATGTGGTGTATTCTGTTTGATTGTTTCTTCTCAGTATAAACACATATACAATATTATACTGTTTCATCGATCTTTCTTTGAGATATACTACGTAAGGACAAATGTACAACAACACTTGAGAAATATCCTAAAGTGCGTAGACTCACAAAGACTTTCTTCAGTTCACAATTACTACGGCTCGTAGTGTGAAAATCCCTCACAATTCGCGTCTATTCAAACCATTAAGTATTTAACGTAATAGTTCATAAACCATATTAACCTACAGGGGTAATCTCAGAGTAAAATTTAAATGTGAAGTTTGTAGAGTTGTCTGAATCATATGAAATTATGTAATTTGTATACGTTGTTTTTCCTATGAGTCAACATATGGCTGAATTAACAGACACAGTTCTGTTTTTTTAACAAATGTGTCTTGCTCATAGATGTATTGTTGGATAAATTCATGCGTGTTATAATTAAGGTAGAGATGCAGGTTCGTGGGCACTTGGGAGTGAAACATACTCAAAAGACGATTTTAATATATAGATAACAGGTGCAAACATTCTCTCTTTTGAATGCTTAGCAAGATTTAGCAAGGCTGTACATAAATAATAAAAAGGAAACATGGTGAAAACAAAGAAATGACAGGATCTCCATATTATGCACTATATTTAACTTTTTACAAAACGATAATACATTTAAATTTGGAACTGTTACAGCCATTTTAATTATGAGCATTAGCAAACTTCTTACTGAGTGAATTGTTATGCAAATTAGCAATTATCTCAGCTTCATTTTAGTGCACATTCTAGAACTTTAAAAAAAAGGTCCTAGACGCTTTGACCTCTTGTTTTGAAATTTTCACAAATGATTGACAATGTCGGGGCATTGTTTTTGGTTGAACAGTGTTACAACAATCGTACAGACAACTAGCCTGGGTGTCAATTTATGCATAAACTTGAAGTAGTGAAATTTGAACTGCTGCCCTGCAAAATTGACAACTGGTAGACAGTTTTCAAGACGGCACTTTCTTCATAGTAAACAGATGTATCCATAAACCATTTTTTGACAGGAAACAGAAGCATTGTTTAGAAGCTATTTTTTTTAATCACTTTTGATCAAAAAAGCACATATTTGTGCATATTTCAAACTACAGTGTCCATTAAAAAATTACTAACAACATTTTAAAATTCATACAATAAGCTTTCCGAAAATATATAGTTTTGTGAACAAGAGAGGTCATTTGGTTTCCTAATTAACTAATTAAAATACATGTCAGGTAAACTGCATCTCTACCTTAAATTAATAACATCCATTACCACTGCGTTCAGGTGAACATATCATCCTTCCAGGCTAGTTCGAACTCTTAATACTAGTAGTTCGATACGCGCAACTTATCATCGCTACACAAAACAGATTTGCATATGACTCTTTTGCTTATTCGAATATGTTTACCAGTCCCTGCCAGTTAACACAGATATGCTCAAGTTACTTTGATATATTAACCAGTTTAATAAAACGTGTTACGCCCTAAAACTGAATGAAATGTTGGTTGATTGATTGATTGATTAATTGATTGATTGATTGATCGATTGA